CTATAGTAGTTTCCATTTTCTTTGTGGTCCGGGACCGGGGGAGGGCAGAGGGGTCGGGAACTGGGATGTGGATTTCTGCCACAGAGGTCATTGGCAAATATATAGGGATAATGGAAAAGAAGATGGAAACTACTATAGTATATTCGGAAGAGGTCATCGGAAATGCTTCGTAAGCGTCAGTCACACGACACTCCGCGCTTGCCAACATCAAGCATTCCCTGATTGCTATATTTTATTGTCCGCCGCATGCACAAATCATTGTTACTTTGCCGCAGCAATACATGACTTTGATTATACTTATAATACTGCAGTAGTTTCCGTTTTATTTTCCATCTTTCCTTACATAACCCCAATATATACCCCGATATCCCTATATCGTAGTTTCCATTTTGTTTTCCATTATTCCTTACATAACCCTTATAACCCCAAATCACTTCACAGGATCTCACTTCAGAGAATGGCTCAGAACCGGGCGAGAAGGACCTTGCAGTATCTCTTGCATGTGGTAGCAACAGAAACCCCTAAACCCCTAAACCCCTAAACCGCGTCGATTTTTACGGATCCTGGCAAGGAACCCTTCAGAAACAGCGATGCTCGTATATCTCCACCTCAGGCTCCTTGAAGTGCAGTCATGGATCTTTCAGCATGGGGATAGAACTCACATATATATATATATACATATATATTTATATATATATACATATATATATATAGAGGGGGTTTCCCAAAATTTCGGGGTACCATTTTGGGTGTTGCTCCTATAGGGTCCCCTTATCGTGGGAAACTACCAATATATCCCTATGCAATGCCCATACATCCGTATATACATATATATATATACATACAGATATATAACACTTGTACATCCCTATAGAACTCCAATTATACTCCTGCAATGAAATTGTCTGGGCTCAACTCAACAGACAAAACACCCTTTAACCCCTCACCGCTCAACTGGCGTTCCCTTATTAGTAGGTTAGCCCGGAGGCCAAACTAAAGCCCATATACAAAAGTCACGAAACACTGGCATTGTACTTTCGGGACTTTTTGACAAGATACAAGATCACGTTTTTCCTGACCCTGGGGGGAGAGTGTGAGGCTGCGCAGGCTGAGTCGAGTGTTTCTGATGGGCCAGTTACTCCAGATTTCATATGCCTGGCTGCTGAATGGACCTAAGGCCCTAAACCCTAAAGAACCCCTACTCAAAGAGGACCCCAGACCTATAAGATCTCGATTGAACACCCTCAAGAATTCCAAGCCCCCAAGAACCCAAAGCTCACATCCTAAAGGAGCCACGAAGCCTAAATCTTAAAGAGCCCCGCAACCTAAACTCTAAAACAACCTCAAGCTCAATTGATATGGGCATTGGATGAAAGTGGTGAAGGGTTTAGGGTGGATTATAGGGAATATGTTGGGGGTTCTATTGGGATAATGGAAAAGAAAATGGAAACTACTGTAATACCTTAGGATACCATAGGGGAAAATGCAAAATAGAATGGAAACTACTGTAGTATATAGGGGTTAAAAGGGGCTTAGGGTCTGCGATGGGCAGTGTTGAAGTTTTGGCAAACCTAGGGGGTATGGGCGACTTTAAACCCGAAACTCCCTTTCAATGCCTAAGCCCCTTTGAACCCTGAAGCCCAGAACCCACCAAACCCCCCAAAACCCATTAACCCAGAAAAAACACCCCAAACCCTAAACCGCCATTAAACACGGCCGAAAACCTTCAACCCGAAATTAGCCCAATATAACCCCGTATAACCCAATATATCCCATATTATCCTTCATAACCTATACAACCCTGTATGACCCCAAACGCCAAACTGTACACCCTAAAGCCTTAAACCCTGAACACCTAAACCCTAAAACTTAAACCCCTAAACCCAAAACCCTAAACCCTATACTATAGTAGTTTCCATTTTCTTTTCCTTGATGGCTATTGACCCCCATTATATTACAGTAGTTTCCATGTTATTTCCATTATCCCAATATAACCCCTATATAAGCCCTATAAAACCCTAATATAACCCCTATAATCCCTGTAGTTTCCATTTTCTTGTCCATTATCCCTATTGAACCCCAATATAACCCCTATAATCCAAATGTAACTCTAAACCCTAAACCCTAAACCCTAAACCCCTGGACCCTGGACCCTGGAACCCTGGGACCCTGGACCCTGGACCCTAAACCCTAAACCCTAAGCCCCAAACCCTAAACCCTAAAACCCTAAACCCTGTGCAGGTAGGCCGCAGCAAGGCCATGGCGAGGCCTCGGCTCCGATCCGAGGCGGCGGAG